CTTTGCCTTCCCTTCTCCAGCCTGATCAAACCTAGCTTCATCAGCCTCTCCTCCTGCATCCCCTGCTCAACCCCCTGAAATCTTAGTGGCCTTCCCAGCCTTTCTCCAGTTTGCTAGCATTTCCCTTGTACCTGGTCCCCCAAACCGGTCACAGGTGGCTGATAGGCCAAGACCTTATGATCTGAGTGAGTGCTGAGCAGAGTGCAGTAGTCGCTTCCCACCATGTGCTGGTAACATACTTGCTAATATAGCCCCAGTATGTGGTCTCCATTCACCCAAAGGTGCCTGGTGGCTCATGTATAACTTGTCCCCCAGGGCCTGGGGTCCATTCCTGCAGAGCTTCTGCCAGCTCAGTCAGCCCCAGCCTGTGCTGACACGTGGGCTTGTTCTAGCCCAGGTGCAGGACTTTGCATTTGTCTGTGCTGAGCTCTATGAGTCTTGTTGGCCCATAGCTCCAGCCTCCTGGGCCCCTCTGAACAGCAACCCCGTCCTCCAGCATGTCCAACACTGCCCCAGGCTGCTGCCACATCACCGAGGAAGACGTCCAACTGCATCACCTGAGCGGAACATGGTGAAGCTGCCCATGAAACTCCAGGAGATTTAGCAGCCAGATAATCTAGTATCTGCCTGAATTCATCAAATTATTCTGGCCAGGGCAGGCTCAAAGCAGAGGCTAAGGCAGCTGTGGCTATGGTCAGCAGACCTGTGGGCTCTCTGGTGCTCCTGTGTCCATTTGCCTAAGCCAGAAGGCAGGGGTGGGAAGGAGGAAAAGGAATGCTTCAATCCAGCCTGCCCACAACCTCCTCTCCCTTGCCATGGGCAAAGAAGCAAGCACAGATTTCCAGTCCTCACTGTCAGCTCTCTCTTTTCATCCTTCTCTGGTCAGGAGGATCTTGCCAATGTCCACAGATCTGCAAAAATCACTCCTGCCTGCCCTGTGGAGAAGCTGTCATCAGCCACTGCTGAGTACGGCAAAGCTACATCATGGCCTGGGAGGGAGCTGAATAGACTGAGGAGGCTGAGGGGGGAGCTGGATCCCCAGGGGGCCTGCTTGGCAGAGGGACCCTGGCAGCCTTGTCCCCTGCAGAAGCCAAGCTGCCAGGAAAGCAAGGAGGGCTTGGGAAGGACAAGGAGGCACAGGGAGGCCACTCCGCAGAGGACCCCGACCTTCAGGTGTTCATACCAGCAGCTTGCATTGCTCAGCAGCCCGTTGTTCTTGCTCAACTTTTATTTCTACGGTGCATGGATGGAGCTTGGCTTTCTGTTTCCCAGGGGATACGATGCAGTAAATTTTGTGGCATTTTCTATTCTGTGTGTGTCTCCTTATACCGCTGACCTGTACCTTAGAAATATTATAATTGAAACCCATCTATGACATGGATATGTCTGTAAACCTCTCTGTGTCAGCCACAGAACTTTGCTGGATACTGAGACTATAAAGAGAAATGGTTTTTTTGGACTCTGATTGCCTTTTCTTTTGAGCTGAGTTGACATTAACAGGGTGCTTGCTGTTGCTGTACCAAACAGGAGCCAACAATTTGCAGTAGGGCTGGAGTTCACAGGGTCAGGAAAGAAAAAAAAATGCCAAGCCTTCATTTACATCCTCCTTCTGTCTTCCTCTGTGCACATGGACTATTCATCCTGTATATCCCCAGGTCATGTGGATGCATTTAGCATTGAATCAGTCTCTGCAGAGATGGGCGTGCACAGTCCCATCTTGTTCTCACAGTTTACTGGCACTGCCATTTGTATTTTGCTTCATAAACACTTTGCATTAAGATAATTCAAACTACTTTTCAAACACCTCAGAAAGAACAGCAGCAATTGCTTTTCAAGGCAGCCAAAGAGCCTCATTTCTCCAATCAAGCCAGCGCTTAGACTGCCACAAGGCAGGAGTTTGTGTGTGTCTATGCAAAGCTCAGGTGGCCGTCACCCGCAGAATATTTCTTTTGTGGTTCTCTACGGGTTCCTTGTGTTTTGGTATTTATGGCTAGCAGGCAAGCCCATACACAGGGGAGCCATAGCACAGCATGGTGAACTAGTATTTCTCACACCTTTGCTTTACTTTGTTGAGGTGAAAAACTCTAGAACAAATCTTTAGTTCCATTTCATCAAGTTTTGTTTGGAACAAGTACTCTGTACTTTCTTTTCCTTAAAATGTTAATGAAATGTGGATTTTCTTTCTCTCAGTTGGGTCCAGCATTGGAAGAGTGAATGCCAGAGACAAGGACTGGCCACCCAGTGTCATCACTTATTCCATTGTAGCTGGAGGAGGCACCAGGGATTACACAAATATCTTCTGGATCAATCCAACCAAAGGAGATGTGAAAATTTTAGCTAGATTAGATTATGAAACAACTCAGAAACACATTCTCACAGTACAGGCCTCAGACCAAGAGAAGACTGCAACAGCATCTGTAAGTAAATCCACTCTACTTCTCCCCCTTTATCTACATTTTTCCCTCTTCCTCCTGACAAGAATGGTAAGACACTGGGCAAAGTACTTTGGTCTGTAAAAGGCAAGTCCACCCCTGCACAGAGCTGTAAAATAATCAGATGAAAAAGGTTTATTTCTTACAAAAAGTATTGAAGTAATATCTTTGTATTCTTAACTCTGTGGTTTTTGTTTCTCAGTCTTTTTTTCTTGTTTTACCTGGGCTGTGAAAATGTTTCCTGTGCCCTAGACAATTTAAGATATTCTTTATGGCTACATATGTACTGGAAAATAGAAAAAGGACAAGGTCTTGAGGCCAAATAGCACAACCTAATTTTTAGCCATGCTTGGTGACACGTCCGTTTTGTCACTACCTTGTGTAGTGCCCCTTGGCCCTCAAACGTACTTTTGATTTTATATGTGATGTTTTTTCACTGCAAAGTGCTCAAAGTAATGCAAGAATCGTATTGCAGCCCATCAGAGTTGTGTTTTCATGGGGTGGGACAGAGATGTGCTGCACACCTTGGGAATGGGATCAGGGCTTGGGTAGCCTCTTGGGATAGTGTCAGAAGGCCCACCTAGTACAGCTGTGTCCACATGGCCTGCTGGGGATGGACCCTTACACATGCCTTCCCCTGACCGTGATCTAGTTTTGTCCCTGATGATGCTATCTGGCAGGAGCCAAAAGCATGCCAGGGACCATGATAACTTTAAGCAGTAGGGTTGTGCTCAAGTTTGCTACCGAGACCTATTTTATTCAGAAGAAAAAATACAGATATTATATCCACAAAGATATTTTATAGTCACTTCTTTCAAAGAATCCCAGTGTCCTTCACATACAGACTCCTTTTTACTCCTTTTCATGTCTTCTCCCTCATGACTGCCTTAAGTTTGATTTTTTCACATCTGTTGGCGGGGGGGAATAGAGGTACCAGGCCTGGTTTCTATTTCAGCCAAGCATCTCTATGGGTGGTGCTGGGTGGGAGGTACTTAATCTCTTTATAATAATTCAAGGTGATGACTAAGGAAAATTTAGCATCAGGAGCTTTTAACGATGACAAGTTTATCTGTTGCCTGTTAAAGACCAAAAGACATGAGAGGAAAGAACTTTGAGATCGGTAACCTTTTTCTCTCAGCGAGCTAATCCCAGCTGACATTAAGCACATCTGGCTCTACCCAGGGTGCTCCCAGCTATGCAGAAGGCCATTACCAGCATTTCTCTCTCACTGGGAACAGTCCATAAGGAGTCTTCCTTCCTCCCATGGATCACGCTCTGAATTATTATTAAATATGCTAAGAAGCCTAACTAATGACTGTGAAGCAATTTAAGAGGTTTGAAAGGAAGTTTAATGAATACGTGGTACTATTATTATTTCTCATTCTTTCTATAACAAAGTTCAGGTGATTCAAACAGTCAGACACATCAGCTTGAAACCTCTGCAGTTTGGAAGATGGTTCAGGTTAAGGAACCTGTTCCCAGCAGAGTGTGGATCACAAGGAGAATTGAAGGTCAAATGATCACAGCTATTTCTGGTAGAAACCAGATTGGAAGGGAGGTTCATTACTCTTCAACTGCTGTTGATCAAAAGAGCAAAATGGGCAAAGTCAAACAATTTCTGAAGTTAATAGAATTCTGGTTCAGCACAGTAGAGGATCTTCAGCTTGCTATTGCTCCTTTCTTTTAGGTAACTGTCAATGTTGTGGAAGTAAATGATGAAGAACCAGTTTGTTCACCCAATTTCTATTCATTTCAAATCCCAGTCAGCTTAGCTGTTGGGACCAATATTAATGGCTTCAGGATTGAATGTCAAGATCGTGATTCTGATCCCAGGTCTTTCCGTTACTTCATTAACGAAGGTACTGTGTCACGGTGTGTGAGCTAGGAGCAGTGCAAAAATTAGTGAATACTGGTGGTTCACTTTGATTTGTAAATAAAAATCTAGCACAGTTTATGTACTACTTCTCACGGTGAGCTACTTGTGATCCACAAGATCTGCACATCATTACTTTGCTGCTTACCAAAAGAGATGTCTCTCCAGAAGTTGGCTACTGGTGCTACCACCTAGAACCATTCCCTTGCAAGACTGGATTGCCTGCCACATTAATTAATTGGCGATTAATTACACAGTTGACAAGGACTTCAGAAGAATGAGCTGAAATGATGTGCAGGGTCAAACTTCCCTTCCCGTTATAGCTGAGTAAATCTCGAGAAGCGATGGTGGGTTCTATTACTCTGCATACTTCACCTTTAGATGCTGGTATACAATTCAAAACAATGGAGCAAAGCTGGTGTACTAGGTCCATGCTGTACGCATTAAAACCCGATTTTAAGAACATGTGTTTGAACCTAGTAATCAACTGCATCCACGTGGGGAACTGCAATGGTGTGAGATGATGCTTGGCTTCACAAAAAAAGTGAATGCACTCTCTTGGGGCAGTTCCTATTTTTTGTTGCTGAGGTGACTGCTGAGAAGGAGGGAGCAGATTGTGCAGGTGCTGGTAAAAACCTGTGAGTAAAAAGAAAGAACCTCTGTCCTGTTGCAGCCCCTTAATGCCGCAGAGAAGCTCTGCACCAGTGGTATTTACACACGAGCCCACACAAAGGCTGTGTTTGTATCAGTAAATCAGATGTGAGCTGTGCCATGCAGTTGGCCTCTGAGCCACCGAGTAGCCCATGGCCTGTTTTGTCTTGTACAATACACATGGCCTTCAAGGTCTCTTCAACTCTGGAGCTCTATGGGGCAACAAGAGCAAAACCAAAGCATATCTGATGGTTTTTCATGGCTCTGATCTCTTGTATGTGTGGTCTGTCTGGAGCCTAACACCTGGGACTGTCCTTTCTGCAGCCCAGGCCACTGTAGATCTCCAGCTATATGGACAGAAAATGAGGGCTGGGGAGCCAACATCACTGAACTCCCCTCTCTGCCCAAACAGTGCAGATGAAGTTCCGGAGGCAATTAATGTCCCCTGAGTCATTAGCTCTCTTCTGGGGAACCTGTTCAAAGGCCTCTGCCTCTGGGCAGAAGCCATGGAGAGGGGCTAGAGTGGCCTCTGGAGATGCTGGTGTTGTCCATGGTTGGATAGAGAGCAGCCCTGAGGAAGAGGACTTGGGGGTTCTGGTGGACGAGAAGCTCAACATGAGCCGGCAATGTGCACTTGCAGCCCAGAAAGCCAATAACCGTATCCTGGGCTGCATCAAGAGAAGCGTGGCCAGCCCCTCCACTCTGCTCTTGTGAGACCCCACCTGGAGTACTGCAGACAGTTCTGGGGCCCCCAACATAAGAAAGACATGGATCTACTGGAGCGAGTCCAGAGGAGGCTATGGGGGTGATCAGAGGGCTGGAGCACCTCTGCTATGAGGACAGGCTGAAGAGAGTTGGGGCTGTTCAGCCTGGAGAAGAGAAGGCTCCGGGGAGATCTTATAGCGGCCTTCCAATATCTGAAGGGGCTACAGGAAGGCTGGGGAGGGACTTTTGACAAGGGCAGGGAGTGACAGAACAAGGGGTGATGGCTTTAAACTGGAAGAGGGTAGGTTTAGATTAGATATTAGAAAGAAAGTCTTAACAGTGAGGGTGGTGAGACACTGGCACAGGTTGCCCAGAGAAGCTGTGGATGCCCCCTCCCTGGAAGTGTTCAAGGCCAGGTTGGATGAGACTTTGAGCAACCTGGTTTAGTGGAAGGTGTCCCTGCTGATGGCAGGGGGGTTGGAACTAGATGATCTTTAAAGTCCCTTCTGACCCAGACCATTCTATGATTCTATGATTCTGTGTGGCCCAGGGGACACCCCAGGGACACCCCAATAATGGAATGAGCCTTGCAACAATGTAGGGTCCTCACTTCAGCTGAGTGCTGCTGCTTTTATCACTTTGTTGCTTTATCTGATTTTATATGATATCAGGAAGATTGAGGAGCCATTCTTGTCAATGATATTTCACCACACAGGTGTATAGTGATCCACAATAAACAGAAACAGATTTTTTTTTGCTTGTTCCACGCATTTACTCCAATATGGGACTGTCTTTCTCTTCTATTCATTTTTTTTGGCACTGTTTTGTGTTTTTGCTACTGCTTTCAGGCAATGTGAACAATCATTTCACCTTTTCACCAAGTGCCGGCTCCAACACATCTCAGCTGATTCTTGCATCGCGGTTTGACTACGAGAGTGGACTTGATACAAACTGGATTTACATACTACGCGTCTGTATAACAGATGACAATTTATTATCTGCCAGGGACAAAACTACACACCTAATTAAAACTGGAACAGTGACTTTAAGTATCAGAGTTATCCCAAACCCAACTACTGTCATTACCACGACGGTAAGTTCACTGAAATTTATGTCCACTTCTGTGGTTCTTCACTGAGCTACTCTCCAAGGGAGTGAAGAAAATAGAGTAGATGTATGCAAAAGGAAAACAAAAACCTACAGTGGGTCCAGTCCTGGGAAGTGCTGAGCCCCGTGCTCTTAGATTGAAGCCAAAGGTGGTTGATGTACTCAGCATCATGAAGGATTGGTCCCAGGTACAGAATCATAACATATGTTTTGTATTTTAGTTTCTAAGACAAAAAGGGACACGTCCTTTTGGCGTCCAGCCAAAGGACTGGGCACGCTGCCATTACCATGTAACTGGAAAGTTAAAGATTTGGCAGCTTTATTAATAAGGAAAAAGCAGAGGTTAACCTTTGCTTCGAACCTTAAAATTACCTCATGCATTTTGCACTACCTCTTTTTTTATTCATAGCTATTCACTCTGCCAGCTGCCTTGCACTTGAATGTGCTGCTTTAGCGGTGGGTCACATTAATCTGTGGCTACCAAAGTTAAAATAGGCAACAAGAAGAAACCCTCATCACTTGGAAGGGGCTTTTTTCCCATCCCTGAGGTCACCCTCATGTAAAACCTCAAGCTGCCTGTCAGGAATTGAAGCAGTTGTGCACAGCCTCATCCTATCACAGAAGTTTCAGCAGGTTTCAGACAGGCAAAACCAGAGGGGTGAGATGGGTCTTTCCTGAGCTCCCTGCCCACATGGTGGTCCATAGCTGAGCTGGGGAAGCCTGCACAGTTTTTGGCAGCTGGAGTGGGATCTGGCCTTGCACAGCCCATGGAGCCCATATACTCTACTCCGCACAGCCATCCCAGGCAAGCTCTGGCTCGCCAGTTTCATTTTGGAGATGATTTCCATCAGGCTGGTGCATGGCATGAGGAGAGCTTGGCTTTGTCCTGATTGCAGAAGTGGCACAGCTCTGTTCCCATCCTTATACCAGTTTCTGCTTTCATCTCTCACCGCACCATCTCTCTGTCATCCAGAGTCCATCTATTTTCTGCCTGCCTGCAGATGGCATTGCTCTTTTTTCCCTTGCATGCAGGAATGAAAAGATGAGGATGCTGTTGAAGGGGTAAAAGAGCTATTCACTGTAAAACGGTCTGGATCTGCCAGGGACTACTGGTAACTGAGCCAGAACCAGGGGATCCTGCAAACAGCACATGCAAATCTGGATACTTTGCTATGAAAATGCTTAAATCCAAACTTGCAGACTGATTAACAACCCTGTTATTATCTAATGCTTTGTTGGGAAGGAATAAATGGTTTTCTCAGAGCCTTCTCCTCCCCCTACTTGATGTGGAAATGAAAAGTTAAGCTGAAAACCAAAACTTATTCTGTATTTCATTCCCGTGCTTTACCACAAATACAAACAGTCTAGACCACATACCACAGCATTAAATCTGCCTCCCCAGAGATATCAGCCTTCCACTTTCAGTCTATTTTCCAGAAGAGCACTTCCATTACAGCAACTTCTCCCATCACTACTTGTTACGTGTGTTCAGTGCAGCAAATTGATGAATCAGATGCTGGAAGGGTGGTAGTGTAGAAAAGAAGTCCCATTAGAAAAAGTCACTTGTGACTTCAGTCCCAGTGAGGATGGAGTGGTGGTGGTGATCGTGAGATTATCTGAGAATTTCTCTAAGGATTGGATATACCTTTTTTTGCAAGGCTAACTAAGTTATTTTAAAGGTATCCTTAAACAGGAAAGAAATAGATACCCTACTATATTCCATACACAATGTGATGACAAATGTCTTATAGAAAATTAACTAAAACTATCAAAACTAGTACCACACGAGGTAATGACCTAGGTAGAGCAAATGAGTAATTTCTCATCTGTGTGAGGGTGGTTTCATGACGGGACCTTAATGAATGAGTTGCTAGCACCAAGTGATGTGCCAGCTCAGAGCCGTATCTCTTGGCACTTGGGAAGATGTGGGAGATCGCAACTGCTCAGGAAATGTCATTTTCCCTTCTGGAACAAGTCATAGGGGAAACAAAAGGAGTTTCATTTCTTTTTATACAATAACTTGGTTCCTTGGGGTTCAACTCCTCTTACGAAGGGGGTTGAATGATCACTGCAGTGAAGATGACCTACTTCCAGTTTTGCCTTAGGTAACATGAAACCATTATCTCAGTAATGGCAGTATTCCCTGAACTTACTCACCCTCCAACAGTGTGCTTGCAGCTTCTCAGGCAACCTAAGGCTTTTAAACCCCACATGGAATGCTTATTTTAATATAAGACATTGAAACATGATCCTGAACCTCCTTTTTGCGTCGTGGGTGGGCTCCATTTCAACTGCCTTTGGTTGCCCCAGGTGCTTGGTGGTCCATCTCAGTCATCTGAGCTGCCTCTGCAGTTAGCAGGCAGGTATGTGGGATGAATCACTGTCTCCAGCAGACACTATCTCCCTCTGCCCATCATCTGCAGAGCCCTGGGGAAAACTTGGGCCAGGTGCTTCAGTGTAGAAGTTCAGCCAGGTAAAAGGTGCTGTTGATGTCAGTAACCTTAGAAGTATGCACCCTTGAGAAACTTTTTCTATCTTGTTTTAAAAGCCTAGCTTCACTGTTGTGATGAAAAGGGAAAACTCGTACTCTGAATCGGCGTGGTACGTGCCGTTTGTCATCACCCTTGGCAGTTTGCTGCTCCTCGGCCTGCTGGGATACCTGGGGTTCTTGCTGGCGACGTGGGTCCGCACCTGCTGCCCTCCAGAAGGCAAAGCGGCCAGCACACCTCTGTGAGTCCTCCCAAATGCCACGCTGGGGAAGTCCTCAGCAGCACCTGGCAATGACAGAGATAACTCAGGCCTTCAGCAGCAATGAAATCTCTGCTTTGAATGCTTTATAGTAGTATGCTCTTCACTCTAGTAAATACTATTACTGGCTACGGTGGTATTTGGTGTTAATGATATGAAATCAAGGAAAAGTGTCCATGAAATTTTATTTCATGGATTACTAATAGTTGTACAAATGCATTAGCTGAAGGTAACAGTGGAATTAACCATTATGACCTCTACAGGCAGCTATGCTCATGAGGCACAGTCAGAGTCCGTGCCTGACTGCGCTGACTGAAAATACAAACATTTTTGGTTTGTATTTGTCTCCCACTCCAAGGGAGCTCCCATCTAGGTAGTTATTGGATGCATATTCTTCCCTCTCAGCTATGGATCCCGGAATCCTTTGCAAACCTTGGTGCTCATGCCAAATTCTTTGTTCTGTCAAAACTTCTGCATATTTCCTGGAGTTTTACCCAAGCCCGTCGTAATGCTCAGTCCCATAAAGCTTCCCAGTACCTCTCAGTGTCTGTGCTTGGCAAAAGCCACGGAAACACCTGGGACCGGCTCTGGTTCATTGTGGGAAGTGGCAGAGATCCTGGCTGGCTGCCTTCTCAGTGGGCTGGAGCCAGGGTGCCTCTAAATTGACTTTTTACTTCACAAAACAAAGATCAGCAGCTCTTTAAGTGGACTGGGATTTAAAAAAAAAAAAAAAAAAAAAGGAATTCTATAAGTATTCTCAGGATTTGTACTTAAATTTAGAAATCATAGTAAATGTGAAGAGGTAATATATGACTGTGCTTATAATTCAAATGGTGTATGCCAGGAATTTAGCAATTTGTGATAAAAAAGACAAATTAATCTAACAGCATATAGCTTGGCTATTATTATTTATTAATAGAGCAAGTGATTAATCAGGAATCAGGCTCTCCCATTAAAAAGCAATTTCTATATTTTCAAAAACATTTATAACTTTTCAAATATTTTAAAAGGTATTATCTGAGCACATCAGATCCAAAAGTTGACCTTCCTCCAAGGATGGAACAAGATTACAATATTTGAAAATATATTTTTCCAGATTATATAAATCCATCATGCTATCATCAATAAGACTATTTTTTTAATACCATCCCTTCTTGGAGAGGTGTTAGAGCAATGTTCAGGGCTGTTTTCCTGTTTGGGTGCAGCATTAAATGATGCAGGTCTTCAGTGAAAGCAAAACCAGAAACAAAACAAATAAAGCAAATCCCAGAACTCAAGGAAACACATCCTTCTTGCCAAGTGAAAGACAGCAAATCACAGTATTTTTGTGTAGGCAAAATATGACATTTGTTAACTACACTCTTAATCTTTTTTTCATTACAGGATGAACACTCCAGGTGCGTATCTTTTCTATAATTTAATACTTCTCAACAACACCCTGCTTACAATTTAGGGTAAAATTTGTAAATCCGTTTCTAAACAAATAAATTTGACCCAGTACAAGAGTACTGAGACTAAATAACCCTGGCTGATTATAGGAGGCCTGCCTATGTGATTTAATAGTGCTTTTGGTCTTCGGATCTATTAACTACCAGGTAAAAAACAAATCCAGAGTAGCATGGTATTCTGGTATGGATGCTAAAGAATTACTGTATTTTTCACATGCAATTCATTTGCTATCTGTTAAAAAAATTAATCACATCCCTCTACAGCATCTTCGAGAGTCTTCTCTACTCTTAATTCCCTGTTCTCTGATCCCTTCATTTGCTCCATTGACACCACTACTTCATGTACCTGAAGATTTATTTTAAAGTATTGGTGCTTCTAAAGGGGTTTTTATGCCTTAGCAGGGGTAGAAGTTACACATAAAAAATTAGGTGTTTTTTTAAGCAGTCTTATTCCTTTTAGTCCTATTAGCTTTCTGCTAGCCAGCATGGCTCATATAGGCTCAGTAAGGATCAGTAAGTTGCTGCTTTTATAACTCCCTCTTCTCAATCAGTATATCCCAGCTTGAAAAAAACACATGACTAACAAAACCCAACAAAATCAGCTGTTCCCCTGGTTGCCCAATTTGAGACATTTCAGCATTGGTTGGTTACCAAAAAAACCCCAGATGCTTGGTGCTTTCTGAAGAACTGGTTCCCAAATGCTGGGCAGCAAAGGCCAGACAGAACAAGTTTCCCATCAGTGCCCAGGTTCAAACCCATCTGCAGTGCTTCAGAGTATTGCACGCCCAGCCATAAAGCCCATTGGTGGCCAGGCATACAGTTCTTCAAAGGAAGGCGATTAAACAAATTGGCAAGGACCAAGGAAGAAGAAATCATAGCAACTAGTTGGGTATCATCCACAAATCCATGCTGTTAAAATGCCCGTGGCACTGCTACTGTATTTGTTTGCATGTGGGATCAGTTAATAGTGTGGCAAATTCACACATAACCAAACTGTTCTTCAATCTGAATTTTACTTGACTGGATCTGCAGCACTTGCCTGTTTCGTCTCCAAGAGCATGTTTGAGTGCACAAGCTTTGCAACTAGAAACATTCATGGAAAAAATGAACACAATCTACATTTGTCCTTCAGATATCCCCAAAGGTGAATTTCTGTATCTGTTCATATTATTCAGAAAGGGAAATTTCTTAAAGAAACTATTGTTATTTATTCATTACTGAAGGAATAAGACTTTTCAAGGCTAAACTTTTGGTTAGTCATTGGCAACTGTGGATTCTCACTACAAAATACTATGGAGTTCACTTTTCAAATAGTATGAGGGATCAGCCTTTGAAAAGAAATAAGGCTCATTTGAAATGTCTCAGAAGTTGAGTACCAAGAATGTCTATTTGAGGAAATCTTGGCTTTAGTGTCTATAGTCACTGTCAGAAAAAAAATATTTTTTACCATGTGTGTTTTCCTTTCTGTAGAGAATAAGAAACATAAGAAAGAAGTGGTTGTGGTAAGTATTGCCAGTCTCAAAACAAAATCTAGTTTTGCCCGGGCCCATCATGCAATATGATCATAGGATCCTTTCTAGGAAAGGTGACTGTTTTCCAAAGAGAATATAAAAATGATAGGTGAGGAAAAGAGGATTTCCCCCAAATGAAAACACTTCAGTGCCCCAGCTAGCCTCTGTATTTGGAGGCAACACTGGGAGTGAGGGGTGCTCACCTGTGCTGTGGTCCCTTTGCTCCCAAGTGCTGAATTCTCCAGGCTCTCATTCTCCAGGCTCTCATTCTCCAGCCTGAATTCTCCAGGCCCATGTGTGGGCAGCCAGAGAGGCTGTGCCCGGAGCAGGGATGGGGAGACTCAGTGCAGCTGCAGAGGCAGGATGACAGAGGCAGGATGACAAGTGCCCCAGCTCCACTGATGGCAATACTGTGCTGCTGAGACACTGCTGTCCTGTGCAGCTAACCCTGACCCGCCTTAGTGCAACTTGTAAGGTACACAACTGTCCCCGAGCTGTAAAGAGTTTGGTTTTGTTAAGCTGTTTGCAGCAAAATGCCATAGTTATTTCCACAGTAATAGACATTGATTTTCTCCTAGATTTTGGGGATCCTTCCTTTTTCATAGCTGTAACAGCATAAATGCTGCAAGGCACTTTCAGTAGCTACTCTCTCTCCCCAAGTTCTTCGCAGAGGGGATTCCCAAGCTTCCTCTGGGTGGAGGTGACCCTCTTGGGGTTAGACCTTATTAATTGGCCTTTGAACAGCTCATGGTAACACTCTATACCACAAATGGCTTTTGTTGCCAGTTTTGATTAAACTCAGCCTACAGGAACACCATACACAAGTGATACAAATCCACCTCCATCCACGCAGGTTACCATTTCCAAGTCTCTGCTCTTCCTTCTTACTTAACTAATTCACAGGATTCATTTCACATTTTGTCTCTCTTCACAGACAATGACAAAGCTAAACACTATCTTTGACGGAGAAGCCAGAGACCCAGGTAATAAAAAGCAATTAACAGTGCATATGAATATTTGGCTGGAAACAAACTGGATTAGTTGATTCAAATATGGTTCAACATTTGCTTTTCATATTTCCAATTTGCTGTTTCCAAGGAGAATGGGAACTATTATTTCACAGAGTGAAAAATCAAGGCAGTGCCCTAGTAACATTTCTAATGTTGGAATATAATTGTGGCCCTCGAAAGCATGCATCTGATGGGCAGATTATTCACTACTCCTCCGCTAAACCTGAGTGTATGGATCTGGTATAGTAAGGTGGAAGGGGAGGAGGAATTTGCTGCAAGCCTCCTGCTCTGGTGCTGTCATGGCTACGTGGTTTCACTCATGTCTGGGAAATAGCCAGCAGATTAATGTAGCTGCAGATGTACTGACTTCGTCTCTTTAAACCTCTGCCAGGATGCAGGGTGGGTGGGTGAGTTACTCACTCCTGCACAAACCTCCCTTGCAGCAACAGTGCATTGCTGCTGTTTATCTAAGGCTTGAGCATCACTTGTTGGGGAGGAAAGAGAAGACAATCTGCTTTTAGATACAGTTGTGGTGGCATCTGCTACCGAGTATGTCACCAGGCTCCAGCTACACTAACTCTGAACATATCTGGTTAACTGTCTGGGAAAAGTGAAATTAAGGCAAAAGCAAGAAAACCAGGATGATCCAGGAGGTGTAGTGTTTAACCCCTTCCCCAACTGATGGACACTGTGCTCTGCAGCAGGGTTCATTACAGAAGAATGTTTTTTTTTGTTGGGTTGATTTGCCTTACCTTGTCCCCCTGAACCACAGCCCCTGCCTGAGCCCCACACTGTAACGCTGGGTCTGGCATTAGGGCCCCCAGCCCTGCATCTAATAGCTGAAGGCCCCAGCATGGAGAGGTGGGGCTGGTAAAATGTGGCAGCTGTTCAAAATAGGTCTTTAACAAAAAGATCCAAAATTAGGTCCAAAACAATAGGCCTAAAAATTATCCAGAAGGCAGGCTTGTTTCAAGGCTTAGATTCATCTGACCAAATTTCCACCCAAGTGCCTGTACCTTGTGTTTCTAATTAGCTGGCTCAGAGCTGTTGGATGCCGAGAGCTAATGGGAAACACTAGGCATGGGAACTTCAGTAGAATTTGGGAAAAAAAAATGGGACCCTACTGTGCAATTAAGCCCATCCACAAGGCTGCTCAAGGCTGGTTTGGTTGAGGTCCAAACCCACCTGCTATTTATAAAGAGATCTGGAGGGATGGTCTCCAAAGTTCCTGCTTTTTCCCTGTGTAACTACATTTGTAATATAGTAAACGTTGGTTTTCTCTAGGACACTGCAAGAGCTGCTTCCTGGTGTTTTTGCAGGACAGCTCATGGCTCCCTTCCTCAGCAAACCTGACCACATCAGACTTAAGGATATCTGAGGCCACCCAAACTGCCCTCCAAAGCCACAGCATTTGTGTCATGCCTGACACAAACATTAAAGCTGTAACACAACTTTGTGGTGTCATCAGAGAAATGTGTGCTCCCTACTCCTCCCCTCTCCTCTCCATGGCTCATCCCAAACCCTAGAGGATCAAGTGCTGGTGGTTTGGTAATGAGATTTATTAATGCCTGGGACATCATCTCTTGAATATGATTAGGAGGGATGGTCAGGAACTGCTTCCTGCTCTGGGCTGCTTTAACATGCCCGCCTTGTAAGCAGTCAGGTAAAATAACAGGTAAAGAGATCCAGTTTCATCTTTAATTGCACACATTGTATTAATGTGTCAGAAACCATTAATTCTGTAACAAAGTGTAACATGTAGGAACACATAATGACTGTTTCTTTCCAGGCCTTAATGGTCTTTTGTTTGTCTCATGTTAATACTGTTTAATTACAAGAAGTGTCACTAAAGCTCCTGATTCTCTGTCTGTTTAGCAAGAGACAGTGATTCAGACTGTGAGGCAATCACACGGGATGCGTGGCAATTTTTCCACCTGTCTCTGGGTAGTCAATGAACTGAAGGAGAAGATACTTACTTTTAATGTACAAGTAGAAATTACCCATAAAATCTGAAGAAGGACAAAAATCTTTCTAACAAGGAAAGGTAGCCATGTGTGCTAAAAAACCCACATTTAACAATATTTTATATATATAAGGGAAGTATGTACTTGCACAACCAGAAAATACATAGTATTTCACTCTGTTAATGAGAACATGCACAGCAAGCCTGGAGGAAAGCATTTTGTGCAAATAGAGAAGCAATGCATACAGCCATTGGAGATCCCAGATCTCCAAATCTTGGGTCAGCCTAGACGACCTGACATGGTCTGGAAGATGTATGTCAGATATTGGGTTCCTAGCAGGTTTTGCTACCTCAGACAGGCAACTCTACTTGAAAAAAACAGGCACAGACATACCCAATGGCCTTGCTCAGCATGGCCAAAGGCAAAAGTTTTGGGAGAGTTAGTCCTAACTACTAAGAATCACAGAATCACAGAATCACAGAATGTCAGGGATTGGAAGGGACCTCAAAAGATCATCCAGTCCAACCCCCCTGCCAGAGCAGGAACCTAAACGAAATTACACAGGAAGGCATCCAGGCGGGTCTTGAATGTCTCCAGAGAAGGAGACTCCACAACCTCCCTGGGCAGCCTGTTCCAGTGCTCTGTTACCCTCACAGTAAAGAAGTTTCTTCTCAAGTTTAAGCAGAACCTCCTGTGTTCCAGCTTACACCCATTGCCCCTTGTCCTATCATTGGACATCGCTGAGAAGAGCCTGGCTCCATTCTCATGACATTCGCCCTTAACATATTTATAAACATTAATGAGGTCTCCCCTCAGTCTCCTCTTCTCCAAGCTAAAGAGACCCAGCTCCCTCAGCCTTTCCTCATAAGGGAGATGCTCCACTCCCTTAATCATCTCGGTGGCTCTGTGCTGGACTCTCTCAAGCAGTCCCCTGTCCTTCTTGAACTGGGGATCCCAGAAATGGACACATTCTCTTGACCTCCTAACCAAGGACTATGGATGTGTTTGTTACACTGCCCATGTTAATGCATAGTAGCTGGAACTTGAACAGAGGTATAGGATGATGAGAAGGTCCTTTTTTTTGAACAGGAATATTTTGAATATTTTCCTATTCCCTGAACTACAGAGCAGTTTTTATAGTGGTAGAATAGCATCTTCCCTGAGTGGTCACCATGGCACCCAAGTCCCCACATTCATTTGTGGAAATGAGGCTTTACCTCTTGGGTCTACCTCCTTAACTCAGCTGATTTTCCAGGTGCTTCACATTTCTCATTTCAACCCCATCCTGAGGAGAACTGTTATGTCTTAATCTGCTAAAGCAGGAATAATTTTAATCAGTTGTCTTTTCTTCCTTGCAAGTTACTGGCAAAATGTATGAATTCAATACACGGTCAGGGGCCCGGAGGTGGAAGAAGAGCAATGAGCCCCTTCAGCCAGTGCTGGCCACGCAGGTAACATCCAGTGCCACAGATGATAGTGGCCAAGGGACAGACAGAGCAGAGGCACCAAGCAAAAAAGAGCCTTCAGAGAAGAGGAAAGAACTGACCGCAGAGACAAAACCAGTTGCCGAGCCCTCAGCAGGGCAATCAGAAACACCGGGCCAGGATGGGCTGAGAGTACAAAAGCAGAAACAAGAGTCTGAGCCCAGGAGGTATCCTCACTAGCCCCTCAAAGCAGATACTGACCTCATCTCCCCAAATGAACACTGCGTTGCCATTAAGCCAGCCTTAAAGCAGAGTCCATGAAACTCCAAGGTACCTCCCAAATGATCCTTGCTCTGAACAGCCAAAGAATCAGATGTGATTTTCTCTATATATAGCTCAACTGCAAAACATAAGGTGGCCACTGCTGCATGAACCAGACCCAAAGGCAGGATGAATCAGAATCAAAGAATTGCAGGGACCTCAGGAGATCATCTAGTCCAACCCTCTGCCAAAGCAGGTTCCCTACAACAGGTTGCACAGGAAAGCGTCCAGGCGGGTTCTGAACATCTCCAGAGATGGAGACTCTACAACCTCTCTGGGCAGCCTGTCCCAGTGCTCCAACACCCTCACAGTAAAGAAGTTTTTCCTTAGGTTTGTATGGAACTTTCGGTGTTCCAGTTTTTGCCCATTGCCCCTTGTCCCGTCACTGGGTACTACTGAAAAGAGCCTGGCCCCATACATTTGGCCCTCACACTTCAGGTGTCTATGGATTGATAAGATTGATAAGATCCCCTCTCAGTCTGCTCTTCTCCAGGCTGAAGAGTCCCAGCTCTCTCAGCCTCTCCTCATACAGGAGATGCTCCAGGCCCTCGTCATCTTTGGGGCCTCCGCCAGACTCTCTCTAGAAGATCCCTGTCTTTCTTGAACTGGGGAGCCCAGAACTGGACACAATATTCCAGATGTGGCCTCACCAGGGCAGAGTAGAGGGGGAGGAGAACCTCCCTCAACCTGCTGGCCACGCTCTTTTTAATGCACCCTGGGATACTGTTGGCCTTCCTGGCCTCAAGGGCACACTGCTGGCTCATGGCCAGCCTGCTGTCCACCAGCACACCCAGGTCCTTTTCCTCAGAGCTCCTTTCCAGCAGGTCAGCCCCTAACCCATACTGATGCATGCAGTTATACTGATGCATGCATGAAGCTGGACTTACCTTTAGCAGGTGCAGGTAAGAATGGGAGAGAAGGGGAGGATGTGAAAGGGGAGAAAAGAAAATGAAAGCAGAGTCATGGACAGAAGAATCCACTGCCTGCTGTCCCCTGGCTACAGTCACTGGCAGTTTCCTCCTGAAAAGCTCTGCACCCCAAGACTGACATGGCCACATCCTCTGACCGCCTTTGGGGAGGGCAGCATACACATGGACAAGCTTTCTCACCAGTGGATGGGGTCTCCTGTCCCCAGTGAGCAGCAGAATGGGTGAAAAGCACATCAGGGTCAAAAAGTTTGCTGGCAAAAGCTAAAAATATTTTCTTTTCATTCAGTATTTTACTTCAGCCCTTCCTTGCCCTCCCATCTTGCTACAGAAAAGACCATGGCTTGAAAGCAGTTTTGGAGTGGAGAAAACCCACAGCTTGTTCTGGTATCTCAGGCTGTCACATCAACTCTTTCAGCTTATTTATCTTTTGTAACACTAGCAGCATTTAATATCTTCACCTTTGTTATTTCCTCTGGCATATTTAATGTTTTACAGAATCAAGTGGAACACACTCAAAAGAATAATGACAGTGAACACATGGGGTGAAATAATCTTTTCCAAGTGTGGGCATGTATAATGTATAATTGGCATGTAAGTGCTGTCTAAGAACCTGATATAAAACAAGCAAACCTTAGAAGATTTCAGAAAATTATTTTAATCTGAAGAAAATTAATTGTAAATGATGACTTAATGCCTCATGTCTTGGATTCTTTTCTTTCATGATTACAAAAAGTGGTTTTGGCAGCAAGGGACTGATATCAGGTGGCAAAAGAAAATACTCAGTTAGTTGAGTGGGGACAGTCAATGAAGATTTTACCCCATCTGTCACATACATTGGTTTTTGTTGTACAATGGAGGACCTGAATGGAGAGGCCCAGGGTAATTTCACCGAGGATCCTATGCTTTACAAAACCACTTGTCATGGTGCTGTGACTCTGCTGTGCTCCAAAGGAGCAGTTTGGCTCAGGAACAACTTCCCTTACAAACACCAAGAGTCTTCAATCAAATGCCATTTAATTGTGCAATCAGAAACCCAGTTTGTCATGAACACCACAATGATAGAGATAGGAAA